GCGTTTAACCTACTTTGGTATTCTTTAATTAATCGTTGCTTTATTTGTGTATGTTCTGTTAGTTTGGCCTGTTGGAATCCTAAGTACTTGTAGAACTCGCCCTCTTCCATGGATTCAATAACGTCTCCATTTCCAAGTGCAAAATCTTCTTTCTTCAGGATTCCTTTTTCTATGTGATTATTATTATTATTATTATTATTATTATTATTATACAGACATCAACACCCGTGAGCAAATTTATTTTACATTTAATTTCTTAAAATACATAAAAATGCAATAAAGAATAAACAATCATCATCTTATTTCATAAGTGCTGCAGCAGTTATGAGATAACACTTGAAACACAAGCATAAAAAGCACAGCAACTGTGATAAAAATATATAAATAAAGCTTGAAATTAATAGAATATGTAAAAGTTCACGTCCCACCTTACACCTTGTGACAGCACACCGGTTGCGGAACACTGTGTTAGAGCTTGCTGTGCAAAACTTTTTCCATGAGGACAGCCTTGGTATCGTTTATGGTTTGTTTGTAATGTTTGTCTGTTGGTACCTTGTTTACTTTTCAGTTTGGTCTCTCACACACTGATAACATTGCCTGAGGTGATTGTTCTCCCTTTGCAGAGCCAAAAGCTCAGGGGTACACCAGGGAATGGCTTTGTCCCTCTTGTTTTTCCTTGGAATAGTTTCATTACATAAGTCCTCCAGGATGTTGATGAAGGAGGCAACTTTGTTGTTTGCACTGCACTGTCTTGTATATCTTCCAGCTGGAGGGCTGCCAACCTGTCTACAAGCTTTGTTTCTAGTGTGGACATCATATTTTTGAGTGTTCCCGTCTACAGCACTGTCTGTTCCAAGCTTAAAGTATATATAGGCATGGTCGCTCAGGCTGGCATTCCCTGAGACTTCCCAGCCAGTTACCTTTCTTAGCGATCTGCTGTTATAGCAGGTTATATATACCCAGCTTCAGCATATTGGAGCATCAAAGGTTGGTAAAGATGCCTGGTCATCCAGAACATTGTCTTCTTGAGTTTACGAATTGCAAGAATTCATCAGTCCGGCTGTCATCATCTGATTGCCCCAGAGTTGGAAATGGGCATCAATATCACCTCTATAATAATCAATTCATCAGAGAGTTGATCTATGATGTGGTCCAGCTGAGCTAGGATCTCTTCCAGCTCGTTAACGCTAGAGCAGTATATGCTCACTAATACATATTTATTAAGGTCTGTTCCAATAGTTGTGCAGGCTACTTTCTTCATACTGGGATTCCCACAATAGAAGGTTGAAATCTTGGTATTTCTCAAATAATGGCTGACAATGGCGAGGGCTTGTGTAGTATGACAAACTGTCCTTAGACATCCTATAGTGCCCGTGATACAGTAGGGCTCCTGGATGATTGCCACATCCACCTCTTCCATTGCCTTACAGAAGGCTGACATTGCCCCTACAGATTTTTGTAGGTTCACTTGTAATACTCTAATTTTCTGTTCAGTTCTCCTCTCTTGGACTACTGTCCATAATTGATCTTTATCATAATCATCATCATAATCCTCTGAATAGCAGGGCAGTTTTTGTCACCCGAATTATGATTGAAGTTTGTGGCCTTCTCCCTCTTAGTTTATACAGATCTTTATTGTATTTTTATTTGGGCATTATTTATAGGTGTGGTCTTGCTGCACTGACTACACACCCTTATGCTCTCTGGGCAATCGTTGGCAAAATTCTTGAGGCGATAGCACTTAAAGCACTGTATGACCAATATGAAGTCATCCACTCCACATCTGATCCACTGGATGTTCACCTTCTTTAATTTTTTTAGGATATTCCTGTACTTTGGAGTTACCACTAATACTCAGTTAGTACTGGGCTTATCTCTTCCTCCTAATGGGAATTCTGCAATTACTTCGCTCTTAAATTGTTTGATACTGTGTAGACATTGGCTACTGCTTCATTTTGGTGGAAGAGGCTGTCCACCACTTCTTCTTTGGTATATTCTTTCAGCACTCCATACACTATTATACAAGGCTTCCTCTTCAATGGCTCTGAGGATTTTAGCCCCACTCTTTCAATTTCCATCTTCAACTTCTGTTTTTCCTCTGCAGTACTTACCTCTATCAACATCCTTCCTTTGTTAAGCTTCCTCACTCCTTGTATTCTGATCCTTAGCTTTTTGGGGTTTATCTTCTCCTTCAGTGTTCTCTTGGTCTTTTCTGGGTCATCCTTCTGGGCCTCTGGCTCTATGAAAATGATTTCTTTTGTGGGCAAAGGCTTCTTGCTCACTAACACCTGGGAATATAGTGGCTTAAATTCTGGCTTCATAATTCTGTTGATCTTTGCACTCATTTCTTTGAGCTCATTATGGAGAGCATCCTTTTCTCCATCACAGAAGAGTTCAATAATATCTGTGACCACTCCCATGATATATTCATAATGCTCCCGCGTATCCATGCGCTCATAGGAGCCACTGTTCTTATTTAGGTACTTCATAATTCTCGACGATACTTTTCGGCAACTTTAAATCTCTCTTTTTTGAGGCTTACCTCATTTCCTGCTTCTCCTCCTCAGAAGAGCTATCTCCCATACTGTCCTCAGATCTGGCCTCTTGGTCATAATGAAAGCATTTAAAAAGGCTGTTTAAATGCTTGCTTTCTACTTCACTTGTGCAGAGCTACTGACAGGACGCACCTTGAGAAGGTAGCAAGCACCCAGAGACAGAACGCAAAAAATATTGATTGGAGCAAATATAAATTAAAAAAATACATTTTAATTATGAAAAGATTTTTGGAAAATTTTCTAGTGTTTTTTTTTCTTTTTTCTTTGGAGGATGCCAGAGCCTCTTGACTCCCCTCTTCAGGTGTACCAATAAAAGATGCATATATTTATGACAGCATAGCATTTTAAAAAACATCTGTCACCAAAATAAATATACAAGTTTCTAAAAAGTCGCTATTTATTTTATATTATTAATATGATCATATTAAATAACTTTTTTTTAATGATTTATACTCTAATTTCTTCATAAAACTGACTATTAAAAACCAAAACATTAGTTTCAAAAATCAACCAGTTTGTGATGAGTTATCATTAAGATTTTAGTGAATGTCTACTATTTGTTAAGTCTTTCCTCTTCTTCTAAAATTAACTTATAAGTTGAAATTTGAACTTATAAAATCTTTGAACTGATGTGCATCTCCCAATATCTGTATCCATAAATTCAATAAAGTTAAGGCTTCATAAAATGTTGCAACATCTTACTGAATATCTTCTATATTAAATGAATTAGGAGCTGTTTCTTTATTATTAAAAACCTAAGTAATTAGGTTTTTTAGCCTTAATTCAGTACTGTGTGGCTGTATAAATTTTTCAGTAGCTACTATAAAACCTTTATCCCAAATTATATTTTTCTTGAATAATAGAGTTTATATTTTTAAATAAACAAAAAACATAGACTGCTTTCTCAGACTAATTTTATGCTTTTAATTTAATTGCTGATAAAGAAATATTGCCATCATATTGAAATTTTAATAATTAGAATTTGATTTTTAATTAATTAACAATTTAGAAATATCTAAAAAAAATACTGTTTCGGAGAAATTTAAAATTTACAACTATCAGATATTAGATATATACTTGTATGTTAACAGTTATGTTATTCAAACTCTAAACCAAATTTTACTCTAAAGATAAACCAATTTAGAATCATTATGTAATTATACAGATTTATATTTTCACTATGTTTATTGGTAATAATATATTCTCCACAGTTTTGCTATGGTAACCAGATGCTCTTAATTCCTATGCCAGTGCTATAAAACTTTATTATACAGTATATATGAATACAATTATGATTGAAATCTTCAACAATAATCAATGACTATAAATAAAATGTTGCTGGTTATTTTAATAAACATTCTTGTTTGGTTTGATTAGATATTGCAAATGCATAACTGAAGGATATATTTCTTTTCTGATTATATAAATATATTAAATTTTATCATTCATTAAAATTAAATTTTGATATATATCAACATTAACTTTTGAACAAAATAATAAAAATCATCTGCTTACGTATTAATTGGTAATTGGCAACGATTTCTTTGCTTGACAAAGGCTGCATATGACACTCCAGCTGTGTTGCACTCGTTACCATCAGGTTTCACAATATCTTTGTCAAACAATAAATAATCTGTTCCACCATTCTAATAAAACAAAGAAAATTTTATTTTAGGAGTTTTTGTTAATTTGACATATTAAAAAATGAATAACATATTTCAAAATTATTAATTTTACAACTACAAATTACTGAAATCTTTAAACAAAGTACATAGCTAACAACTATAGTAGTAGTTTCAATAATTTTAGTAAAAATTGAAGTCACTGTGATTAATTATTGATGAATTTATAAATGTATTAGTTCATCTTACTTACTATTCATTAAACAGAATAGTTTGTTTAATATTTCCTCTAAGTGTAAATTTTCAGTTAAAAATCAAAGTTTTATAATATAATTAAATAAAAATAAAATGAATAGTTTACATAGTTGTCATCTGCACTTAATTTTAGAAAGAACTATTTATATAAACTATAGAGTGTTGCAGTTGAATCAAACTAATAACTTTTAATTTGTTATTTATTTACTTATTTTATTCTCAAGATTAAAAGACAATAAAACAAGTATTTTTAATGAATAAAAATTATTTAGTTTAATCCTGTAAATAAATCATGTTTATTTAAGTTTGTGCTGTACAGAAGGAATTAACATTAATTGAAAATTTATTTAAGGTTAATTTTATTAATTCATTATGCTTTAGTGTTTAACTCAAGAAGTTTTATTTAGAATCATTTTTATACTGTGGTAAGTTCAATAGCCAGAATGGAAGGAACGAGCATCATTATGATAAGAGAAAAATTAGACAAATTTTTGCTAATTATTCTTACTTCAAATTAAATTAAATAGTAAAATTGATTCAATATGACTCATCTACATTAAATGAAGTTCAAAATTATGTATAAAATGTAAATGTAATTCATAATCATGTACTTTAACCAATTGGAAATAGATTGCCATAACATATTCTATATGTATATACATATACAATTATATATACAGTAGAGCATCGATTATCCGACTCAATTGGGGACTCAGGTTGATCGGATAACCGAAAAAAATTGGATAACCGAAAAGAATGGAAAAAATACATTATTAGTATAGTATATTAGGATATCCCATGTATATTAGTATATCGCTATTAATTAATTTAATTAACCAACTTTGCGTTGAATTTTCATCGATGTTTAGCCTAACAAAATTTTTTTAAAATAATAATCATTGCTATTGTATTGTTAAAAATTATTTTTAAATTATTTTATTGTTCACAAAACAAACAACCACTCATAATTAGAAAATTAAGTCTTGTTTAAATACTGGCCTCCCTTCAACGGTCGAGCCGTAGTTGCCAGCTAAAACACGCAAAAATTTAACAAAAATAATATTAAAGTATCCAAGACAGCCAAATATTGTAGCGCCAACATCACTAGCGGACATTTGAAATTTGCCAACTAGAACGGTCGNAATAGAATTGAAACGACACTTTGAAATGTTTTCCCGATGAAAATGAATAATAATAATAATAAGTTTCAATAAAAATAATAAAATGTAAATTGAATATTATCATAACGAGTTTGCTTGAATTTCCTTTCTTCTGAGATCGCAGCAATGTGCGACGGTTAAGCTAGTATAGTCTAATAATAAGTGACATACTCTAAATTCAAGTTTAAGGTGGTTTTTTTTTCCTTATTATTTCTTTTAACAGAGAAATACTTAAATACACATTATTTTATTGGATTATTCAATTTGAAAAACAGCTAAAATATAATTATGATAAAATATAAAAAATACAGTTTTAACTGAAAGTAAATATATACTTTTAAAGCTTGATGAAGAGAATTAGGATCAGTATTTGGTGGTTCTTGTGGAATTAGAAGAAATTTGTCAGTATATTTAATAGTAATATCTGCATTATTTGGTCTCTTTGTAAGATATGCAACAATGATCTGAAAAAAATAAACAAACAAGTTCTAATTTACAACAACAAATAATAGAAAAATAAAAAATTCTTTTCTTATATTTATTTTATTACATTAAAGATTTTTGTTTTCATTCTTAAATAAACAAATTGTCATTTTGTTGTGATTATTATATATCCACAACAAAATTGTGATTAATTCTAAATGATGTTCCTAATTTCAGTAAGTGATTACCTGCATTTGATTAAACTGGAAAACTGAACAAGTTTTTTCTTACCTACTACAAATGTTCAATTTGCTATCCACACATAACATGGCACACATTAACTCTATAATCAAGTTCCTGCCAAACTCTGCTTAGCATGTCAGCATCAATTTCTGCAATGGCTGCAGTGATGTGCATGCTCAGGTCAAGCTGTGTTGTAGAAAATTATGGCATAAACACACAATCCTTGATAAAGCCCCATAAAAAGAAATCACACAGGGTGATATCTAGGAATTGTGGTGGCCATTGCAACAGTTTTTGATCTCCTCACTTCATGGCCAATCCATTGTTCAGGCAACCAGTCATTAAGATATGCCCAAACACCATGATGGTAATTTAATGATATATAATAATATATTGATATATAAAATTAAATACTTACTGACTTAACATCATTGAATTGATAAGGATTGTCAGGACTAACAACGAATGATTGTTTTTTAGTTATATCCATCCAAAGATGAGAATTTTTATTTGAATCATGTCTTACAAAAACTTGAATATGCACATTATGTTTGATAACTGGTTTTAATAGACTACTGACAGTATACCTACAATATATGATAAAAATTAATTTAAAAATTTGATTATAAAATAAATAATCAATTATGTTAGTTTACAGAAAAAAATATTGCAAAAATTCTCTGTAATATAATTACCCAATGCTAATTATTAATGAATATAAAATTCAAAAAATATTTTAAAACAATAATTTATCATTACAAAAAATGCATTTCATAGAAAAAGTAATCAATAAAATTTCTGTCTCTATCCATTATTATTTTATTAGAGTAAAATAATTATTCTAACAAACAGGAAATGAGAATTGTTTGATGTCCCTCAATTACTAATATTATATTTAAATAAATTTAAAATATTAAATATATAAAAATTGATGTATTTTCAGTAGGCAAATATTTTAAAGCAAGCAAATAAATGAATAAATATAGTATTGTTTGTAAAGAATATAACATCAAAGATAAAATTTAAAAAATAAGTCACAAAATTTCCTTAAAATTATATTATTATTAAAGCAGTTTGATTCTCTATTACATATACAAAAATCAAAAGTTTGCTTTATTGGAGCTCATCAAGTAACATTTTCTACAGAAACTGTTACTCAATGAGCTCCAATGACTTGAACTTTCAGGTAATAAAGTCCATTGTTATGAAATAGAAAAATAAACTGACTTGATAGCTGTCACTATTAGGCTAGTTCATCTTTATATGTGCTGCAAATGAGCTTAATGATCTGAAAGTACAGTAGAACCTCTATTATCCGGATTGTTCAAAATAAACAAAAATTTTACGAATTTGCTGATTTGCACTTGGTGAATTACGATACTATTTATGTACTTGATGGAATGAATAACTTTTTTTGTTTCAACAACGTCTCACCCAGCACAGTCGTTGTAAACTCTTAAATATATTTTGCGTCATAATAAAAATATAACTTGACATACGTATTTATAAATAATTTATATTCAAATTACATCATTTTTATGACCAAGGGCGGCATATGGGCAACGCAACCACCTATGCCTCGCGGTCCGAAGGGCCTCATGCCTCGAAGGTTTATGCATTACTTAAAAGCCGCAAATGTGACAAAAAAATTTTATTCATCATAAAACAATAAATAGTTTGTCAAATTTTTATTCATAAAAATGCAGTTTCAACTGCTTTTTATTTTATAAAATCCGTCTTATTGCGCCACCAGAGAGCCTTTTAAACAATAGGTAGTCTGTTAGTGCTGATCAGTAGTATTCCAAATTCAATACGAACATTTGTTTCTTGAAAATTTGATCACGATTTAAGTACAGTATTTATTTTTAATATTACCAATAAGTCATCAAAAAGAATATTGTTGTATTATCATTAAAAGACAAATTAAAGTATTTGTTTCGATTATCCGAATTTTTCCTTATCCGGACTACCTTCATCCCCAATTAGTCTGGATAATCGAGGTTCTACTGTATTTGAGAAGTTGTTACTCAATGTGAGTGAGCTCAAATAAAGTAAATTTTGTTAGTTAAAATCAGGGCTGTGGAGTTGTGTAAAAATCCACTGACTCTGACTTTTCCTTACCATTCAACTCTGACTCCGACCAGGGGAGGACTTGTTACCAAAAGAGACCCAGAAATTCTATTGTCATCACGTGACCTCAGAATAAAAGATTCAATAAATAGAGTTCTAATAAAGATGGAACGTAGAAACTTTTTATTCCAAAGCTAAAAGACTCTTCTAAGTAATGACACAGTCAATATATAAATATGTATTTGATAATTTTTACTTTTCTGGCTGTTATATATAACAGAGTAAGTGTAGCATTTGGTCAAAAAATGACTTCTCCCAAATTTTTACATTTTTGGACTCAGGACTACTTGAAATTTCGAGATATGCAAAAGATTCAAGATTTTTTTCTATATGTGTGGATGTTAGACTGTGGGGGGGACTGATTTTGTTCACCCTGTTTGAAGCCTAATAATTTCTGTGGTTTTTAAATCGGAGTCAGATGGTTTAAACACAGGAGTTAGTTATTAAGCATCAAAGTGGTTGAACTAAATTGTGTCCCTATACACATTCTAACATCTTAGGTAAGAACATCTTAACAGTCTTTACTGTACTATTATAAAATGACAAAAAACTTACTTTGAGGGTAGAGATGAGTCTTATTACTTTTTTTTAATTTTGAACGCTAATAACGAGTAAAATATTCATTGAGATATGACACATGACCCCTTTTATGTCTTCAATCTGTCGTCCTTAAATTAAGAACCAAAATTTAATAGTATTAATGCCTCTTTATTATACACAAGCTATAGTGCCAAATTTCGTTTCTTAAACTTTACCCATTTTGAGATATTGTTTAATATCTCAAAACAAAAAATAAAGAAATTAAACAAATTAGATGCCAACACACACATGTGCAAATTTTTCCCCTTTTATTGACTTTTTTTGAGAATGTTGAAGGGATCAAATTGAAAGGTCAAATTTGACATAATTCCAATACTTTTCCGTTTTATATACATAACAAGTTGGGAAGTAAAAAGGAGTTGGAGTCAGCAGATTTTTTGACAACTCCGACTAAAACTCCAAAACTCCACGACTCCAACTCCAAAGCCATGGTTAAAATTAAAAACAGAGTTCATAAAAACTTTTTATTTTATTTATTTATTTTTTACTCTTTTCATCTTGTGGAGACCAAGATCATTTTACCATACCAATCATGGATTTTGCAAGGTCTACAATGAGGCAGCTGAATGTTGAGAGATGGAGTCAAATATAGTCACAACCTAAAAAATTTCTCAGACTTTTTGACTGACCATATTGTCCCCCAGAGCAGTAGGCTCTCATTTTAACCACTTGTCCATCCAGCTGTCATTAATTTTACTTTATTAAACATTATAAATTTTATTCTATTTTGGATGGATATGATAAGAAATTTTGTAATTATAAAAAATCCAGATTTTAATCTGACTTAATCTTGTAATTTTTCACAAAAGTTTAGCCAGAAATTCATTTCTCCCCTTTCATTTATGCTGTGTAATTTAAAAACAATTTAATATATTTTTCTATGAATTAAAAAAAATTTATAAATTTAATTTTAATACAACTATTTTATAAAATAAATTTACATTTAATTTCACCAAGCCATTTGAGACTTAATTTAAAAATAACTTTTTAAATAACATTACAAAATATTATTTGAGAATAAATTTTTAAAAATTTACCAAATTTTATTAAAATGTAGGCAATGAGCACTTGTTAAATACATTTCCTGTTCATTATATGGCAGATTTTCTGTACCAGTACAGTTTTGTCCTCCTCTAGGATGAACAGTAGTATTAAGATCTTTACACGAACAACAGAAACCCTAAATTTTAAAAATCAATTTAAATCTTATTTCTCATTTTAACACCATATTAGATAAAATTTCATTATACTTAGAACATTACAATTATTATAACCTTTATTATATGTATTACAGCAAATCAAAATTACAAATTAATATATTTTTCTCAATGTGCAATGCACTGACCTGTTACACTACCCGGACCTCTGAGGGATGTATTATAGTAATGTTGCGCTCAGATGGCTAATGCATCTGAGCGCCATGTTGCATTGGATACATCACCAGGGAAAGCTGTGGATAACCTTTGGATGGTATCTAATAGTTTAAATGTGTCTGGAAGAGAGGAATTGCTCGGAGGTCCGGATCTTTCTTAATTATAACAAAAAATACTATAATATATAATTATTTAATAATTTATAGTAATTATTTTAAATAATAAACATTAAAATATTACTGCTTTCATAAAGCAAAATTTTTAAATAAAATAATTGATATTAGTAAAATCTTGTACCAAAATAATAGTATTATACTGTTACTCTTATTACTATAATAAGAGTAACAGTATAATTAGATAATTAATCAAAACTTAATCTAAATAAACTAAAAATATAAAATAAAATATCATATGTAAGATAATAAATCATTATTGATGCATAACTATAAATCTGCTGTATCCTTACTGCATCTTTGTTATGCAAAGTGGAACATACTTTATTTACTCAAATGTAAGATGCACTTTTTTTCAAGCTTTTAGTGATTTCTAATGTCATGTGTCTTATTTCCATTCCCTCATTTTAATCATTTATTAGATCAATATTCTTAACAGAAAATATTTAAGTCAACTTAGCTCAATCTCATTAGCCTATTACAGTAATGTTGTAAGTACTTGGATGAAAGTCCCAGATAAAGCTGTGTAGCAGTATTTCCAGAAATGTTGTATTTCTGATGCTTTAAATGACACCAAGATGGATTATATATGGGAAGAAGTGAACATTGAATTCAATGTTTGGTTTACTAAAACTAAAATTAGGTTTACACACACTTAATGATTAAAACTAAAATTTAGGAATGGGACTAAACAAGATTCAGAAAAGACTAACATGGCAAGTGAAGAGATCTCCCTTTTATATGAAAAACAGTGATATATAACTTACTTTACTTACAATAAATACTGAACAAACTATTTTTTTAGTGTTTTTTTGTCAAAGTTGTTTATTTTTCAGAAAAAAAAAAAAATAATAATATATCAATGAGTGAGCATGTAGAAATTAAGGTGCATCTTAGATTTGAGATTCTCTCTTTCCCTCAACATCTGTGATGACTCTTTTGATCAATCCCACGACCTCCCCTTAGAAGTGCCGTTTAAGACCAACCCATATAAGTAAAAAGCTAGAAGAACAAAGCCAGGAAGTAGCCAATTTTAGAAAAAAAGGAAAAGTTTAAGAAATGACAAAATTAAATTAAAAAAAAATGACTTAATCAAGTCATACTGTTACTAATATCATTAAGAAAATTTACTTGGCTAAAGGGAACTATGATTCCATTTTCAGTTTTAACACCACAGGTAGCTTGAACAACGTCATTATCTATGCATCCTGTATAATTATTTCTATTCTTTTTATTTAATACTGTTTCACTGACTTTTGCATTTACTGACTGAAATAAAAAACAAAAAATAATTATTTTTCTATGTATATATTATATTGTATTTTTAAAAAGTATTATTATTATTATTATTGCATTTAATACTTTGTAATTTGTCTTAGGCAATGAATTTTTATTTATTAGAGGCCTTATTATTTTATTTATATTTCTTTAATAAAAAAATAGCATAAAATAGAAAAGCTGACTACTTAACATATTGATTCTTAATATGAGGCTCACCAGTGGCCTAGCAGTCTTCGTACCCTGAACACTGGAAATATGGTTGTGGGTTTGCGCCTCGCACAGACAGGCTGGCCATGTGGAGTTTTCCGGGTTTTCTCCACCTCTGTAATGCCTAAATAGGGGCCAGTTTCCCTTAAAAAAGACCTCCCGGAAGGCATCCCCCTAGGCAGATTGTCCCAGTGTTACATTGCCATAATTAAACTTAATATGAGAAACAATATAATTTACAATCAGTACTGATAGTATTTACCATAATTTCCTGTTTATAATTTACAGATTATATGCCACTTTGATGATGCAGACTAAATGCCACTACATATAATCTATGAGAATTTTTCTACTTCATCAAAAAACAGTATAAAATCACTTTACTTTGTTTTGTTAGTCTTCTTGACGTGATAAAATATGACAAATGTGTTGTTATTATTTAAATACTAGGCAAACACAAAAAATAAAGATATGGACAGACCAGTTTGCTTCTATTTACGACTGAAATAGTGTTAATAAAAGAATATAAAAAAATGAAACTTACCGAACTGTAAAAAAAAGGATAAGCTAAGATAAGCGGCTCTCTTTTCATCATAATTGTTATAGGATTCATAAGTTTAACCATCATTTTTATTTCAGGATCATATACATTATCAAGAAAAAGATATTCAACTTCATGAAGTGACTGAAAAAATAAGTGGATATTTAAAATGCAAATCACTTCGGTATTATTTCTAAATTTTAAATACATAGATTTTTATCAGTAAGGCAATTAAGACAGAAAAAGAGTAATAAAAAAGATTTCATTCATAAATCTATTGTAAAATTCAATTTTAAATTTGAAAATATATATTATAATATTAAGCTTATTACCAAACTGATAAGTTTAATATTTTATATCTGCTTTTTCAAATATGTCATTACTTTGACTAGCTAACTTCTGTCTGTAAACAACACTTTGAATTTGTGTAAGGATAATCAGTTTAATAGTACCAATAAATAACTGTTTGGTTACTCATGTCTATTATTCTCATCTGTTTGAAAATTCTTTCTTTAAATGTAAAATTTGCGAGGCTCCGGACAGGGTCCGAACCCCTCACTAATCTTTCAGCCTGTAAATCAGACTTTGGAAGCAGTTCTAGAAAATCTCCATCTTTTTGAAATAACAAAACACCTTTAATGCATTTTGAAAATATTGGCTGATGAATTTACATATTAATAAAAAATACGTAAAAAGACTGTATTTTAATCATCGGCTGTGGGCACCAAGTGATCACTACAGTGTCTGCACTATAACACTGGACTGAGCTCGGGCTCTGGCAGTACAACCTAGTAGGGACAAACCTTCTTTGCTCTCGAGCCCGATCCTCTTTGTAATACAGTTTTGGTGCAGTGGCTATGCACCTTGAGTCCTCTACTGAAGAGAGGTTAGTTCATGCATGGTCATTTAAGATGACGAGGCTGCAACCGTCAACACATCCAATCAGCTGATCGTCCACTCAGGACATCGCCTGAAACGGTCAGCGGGACCCTCTCTTCCAGAGAGGGGCCCAGCCCAGCAAGACCCTTGGGTTTATACGTCAAAAAGACCTATTACAACTGCCATCAATTCCTTTAGTTTCAATAAGTTTCCTTTACTCGCTGCTAGCATTCCAAGTACTTGCTCGGGAAGCTGGGGCCTGTCGACATTGTCAACAGTTCTGCGAAATTCCTCAGTAAGAGGACAAATCAAATACATAGTGCTTCGCGTCTCTGCGAGGACACCTACAGTTAAAGCAACCATCTCCTTGTCCAAACTTGGAATTGAAGTGGAGAAACTTCCAGTGTCCGGTCAGCATTTGGGTCACTAACCAATCACAACTTACTAGAGTTTGACAAACTTCAGGCACAAAAGCATAAGTTTACCTACCTACTGTACTTTGAGTCCAGTTCTCCTGCCAGTTTGTCATTGATCATTGCAGTAGACTACCTTTTATGTAGGAGGACGAGGGATCGACTGTCCAGGTTACAAATGGGCCTCTAGCTGCTGTCTTGGCCAGGTAGTCAAAATGCTCATTTCCCTGGGTTCCAATGTAACCTTGGACCCATCTCTGGTCAACTTGCTGTTCGTGCCTAGCCCTCAATACCCTACCTCTAATCTCCAGTTCTGTACGGTCTTGATGGTACCCGTCACTCATGGCCTGAAGCGACAACTGGCTGTCGGAGTAAACCGTGAGTGGTTCAGGACCCAGATGTCTTAGGATCCACTGGGATGCCTCTTCAAAGACCACCAGTTCTGCCTGAAACACAGACACCTCCTTAGTTTGACTGACCGATTGTACACCAGAACTCCAGAAAAGATACAATATGCAGCACCCATCTTTTGAGCCATCAGTGTATATTTCAACACCACAATTCGTCTTTTCACCAACATCCCAATCTAGTCCTATCCTATAGGCGAGGTGGACTCTCTATGTCTGCCCGACATCTGAGTTTGACGATTACAGTGTTTCGCCTCTAAACCTTCTACTGTTGTCCTATAGAAGGCCACCAAATATATAGTACATCACTACAATGCATTTATATGCAGACATAGTTAATTTTACATTTGGTTATGCTTATCAGGTTTTGGGGTGGAGAGGATGGTGGGCAGTGCCGGTGCCAGGTTATTTTGCGCCCTAGGCAAAGTTTACAAATGCACCCCTTATTTCACAAGTAGGATATTTTTAAAATGAAATTTTAAATATAAAACAAAAATTATTTTGGCATGCTTTATTAATAATATACAATATGTAATCCTTCTAAAAACAGAGCCCTTTTTTTATTTTCTTTTTTAATTAATTTAAAAATTCTCTATTATAATTCATTTACAAGAAAAAAAGTTATAAAATATCAAAACTTAATTTTTTAAAATGTTAACATTTTAAAATAACTGAATTTTAAATAGCTGTAAGTTGAATCACTTAGGTACGGAACAAAAAATCACCAAGAGTTAAATAGTATAATAGTGTGATGCGAGGGATAAGAAAAAAGAATCGATACCTAAATCACATATTGCTATTTAATTTAAAATTTTGGCAAAGTACGAATAAAGCATAGCTCGAAATTTTGCACCGTAACGGTTCACACCCTAGGCGATCGCTAACGGTAGTGCGTCCCCGACAGCGGAGCGTGCCACTCTCTCAAATCATTAAAATGCACCGTCATTGGACTTGGTTATGGTACATAAGTCTGTACGGTACAAGTTTCGGTCTTCCATCTTAATTAGAAACAAATGAAATTTGAGGACGATACAAAGCAAGTTAAAATACCGTAAAAGTTCTAAAAAAGTGCATTTATTCCACGATCATTACGGATTCGACCCGGATAAAAATAAAGGACACGGAAGCGAGAAACCACCATCCGACAGACCGAAGCAATTAAGAAAACTTTTAGAATGCCCGAACCCAGTGCCGTAACTAGCCATTCCTGTGCCCTGTGCAAGAATTTGCATTTAGGCCCCTTAATTAATTAGATTTGGGAAACATAATAAAACAAATACATCCATTTTGGACCCCCCTTCCAAGTGGGCCCTGTGCGGCCTAGTTATGGCACCTGTTGCACCTGCCTAGTTACGGCACTGCCCGAACCGAATCCAAACCAGAATTTTTCAAAAATTTTTGCTGCCTCGGTAATGGTTGCTTTATTTAAATACTGCAATTGATATAATAAATAATGATAATAATAAAAGATAATTATTAATAAAAAATCGTACCGTTTCGTCATTTACGATGGTAAGGGCTATTCTTATTTTCCTTCGACACTCGATTATTTCATGTCGTAACTTCGGAGTCTCTAGCATTAAAGTTGGCGACGAACATCGTAATAAAGTTCCGTTCATTTCTATTCTAGCAAAAACATTAAGGAACGAAAAGAATACACCGAGTATGAATATTACACACCGAATTATACTGCAGAATTCCTTCATTTTTCTGATCGAAAGATACGTCACAAGATTTCGAATTTAAATTTGAAATGTTTGTTCTATAATACTCTTGACTACAGTACTAGTACATAATACATATAGAACACGATACATTCCATATAAACGATTATTATATTAGAATGTCTTATGAAAAATAATAAAATGAAAATAAATAACAAAACTTTAACGGTCCTCTTTTGAAAACATCATAGACCGGTGGCGCTCCGTCCTCGGAAGCGGTGGAAGCGCCGCTTCCCTTGTATTTTCTAAAATATAAATACAGTACATATTGCGCGATTATTTTCATATTTTAAATTAATTAAAATTAATATTTTATTATAACCGCATTATGTATTAATATTATTACAAATTTCTATACTACGTGTGAAAAAAACGATACGATCTCTATTGTATATTCGAATATCATTGGCGGAATGGAAGCGACGCGTTGTGGAAAACGGGAAAGCTTCCGAGCAGCTAGATTATACGCATGCGCTTTACAGAGTACCGATCACGCCATTTAACAAAAGCTTAAAGGTCAAGAGGGTAGGAAGATAGAGCGGGGGTCGTGTGTCATATTTCAAGAGGGTCGGGGTTAATGAAGATTTTACACGTTACTAGCATTTATATATATATTTTTCATGTCCTTAAAATTAAATCTTTTGTCATTTTATAATAATTAAAAATATGAAAAGTTTATATAACAAAATCTCGTAATAGATGGCGCCACACGCAATCTTATTTATTATAATGTAATTAAAAATATAAAAGTTATTTTTTAAATAAAATCTCACAACAGCCGAGAAAGTTACGCAACTCGTTGCTATTGATAGATTTTTTTTTTTTTTTTTATATATATATATAAAAACAGTTACATTTCTTGAAACGAACGATCTTTTTCTCAGTTTCAATATAGAAAGATCTATATTTGATTGGTGTAAAATACATTAACCTTTACGTAACTAAATTATAATACGCATATTTAACCCCTCGCGCAAAATGGAAACCTAAGGCTAAAGGGTGGTAGGGAGTCTCTCGATCCCAATCCGTCGTCACTCGGGGGATAGAAACGTAAAAAATGCAGATATTTAGCCTTAGAATTCAAAAAGAATCCATAACGTCAATCGCATTCGAATTCGTTACGAAATTTTGCCCTTTGACCTCCGACTTCTCCATTGAATCTATGTATTAGATACAACGCTTTTCAATGGCTTACTTTGCGAGAATTATCTTGTCTGCAGCTAAAACACATCTAATACACTTAACAGTTATCTATACAGGCTGGACACAAAGAACTCTTTTCCTTAAGTTGTTTGTATCTTTTCACAATGTGGTCATTTCTGAGTGCAGTCCATCTTACACACTTACGTCAAATGCTTTGTGCCACTTAATTAATCTAGTATCAAAAATGTTTGATTCAGCACGACACAGTCCGACTGGAATGCTTTCGGTTAACCGACGTTTCGGTTGATCGACATTCGGATAATCGCTGCTCTACTGTATCGTTTGAAGAAAGATATACACATAACCTGAAATGAAGGCATGTTTTTGCAATTCTCTCCCTACTCATTGGAATGTAAAGAAATAATTTTACAACTAAAAATGAAAATGTAATAATAAATTTAAATTAATAATGTTTTAAATATTATTGTTTATTAAATATATATACTGTATATTACACATTTACTTACATTTCCATCACAGAGTTCAACAATAACACTGAACGCCTCCTCAACACACACAAGTATGTATTAGCCATCAGCCTAGATATTTCTAAGGCTTTTGATTCTGTCTGGTGGCCTCTCATCATGCTTCGACTCAAGCAAATCGGTTGTCCAGCCAACATCTACTATTTATTAAGAGACTATCTCAACAATAGAAAAGCCATTCTTCAGTACGGGTCGCAGCAAGTTGAGAGGAGCATTGCTCGGGGTTGCCCACAGGGGTCGGTCTGTGGACCACTTCTGTGGAACCTCACTTTTGACCCTTTTCTCCATGAAAACTTTGGCCAAGACTGCATCACTGCTTATGCAGATGACGTCCTGGTTTTGATCGGTGGCAACTCTCGCTCGGCACTTGAGCAAAGAGGCAATGATACCCTCAATCAGATTTATAACTGGGGCCTCAGGTATAAGCTTAATTTTAACGCCGAAAAAAACCACCTGCTTAATATTTAATAAGTCTGGCCAAGCGAATCTTTACCGTCGCACCCCAACTATTCGGATGAACAACAGATCCATTAAAGTTAAAAAAACCATCAAGTATCTTGGCATCTGCATGGACCACCGTCTCAGCTGGGATGACCACGTCAAATACATCACCAACCGCACTAACCTCATCTTTCAGGCTTTTGCTCAAGTCGCTCGCAAAAGATAAGGACTAAAATCCGATGCAGTTAGCATCATCTACGATCTTATTTTTACACCCATCATCACTTACGCTAGTGGCAGCTGGGGCTGGGCTGCCAAAAAAGTTCATCTGCACAGGAAGTTGATATCATCACAGCGTAAAGCCCTAATCCTAATCTCCGAGGCCTACAAAACTACACCAAATTGTAGTCTACAAATTATTACCCATAAGCCACCCATTACCAATATCATTCACGCCAGCTACAAGCTCTGGAAACTCAAAACTGGGCATGACATCAGTATTGATACCTACAACATTCCCGCTGCTAACTAAGAAAGTATGAATCCAGTCATCGACATCACCCCTCCGTATATCAATAGTTACATTAGCACCGACATGCCCAGCAACCCTGACCTGCAGATTTATACAGACGGCTCAGGCCTTAATGGGAACATCGGTTGCGCATTCGTTGTGCTAAGGGAAAATCACGAGATCCATCACCAAATGTACAGACTCGACGACTTATGCAGCGTTTTCCAGGCCAAGCTTGTGGCCATTCACATGGCCATAGAATGGTCCGAGCAGCACTGCACAAATAAGCAGATTGCTATCCTTACCGATTGCCAGTCCGCCATTAAACTCATTAACAGTAGACAGCTACATCCACTCTCTACCACAATCAAGAAACTCACTCACAACTCCACCAACAACTACTGCATCAGCTGGGTTCGCGGGCATCAAGGCACTGCCGGTAACGAAAGAGCGGACCAGTTGGCGAAGGATGCCACCAACGATAACACGNATAAATACATCACATGAAAATACAATATTATAATACATCTGGAATATCACATGAAAATACAATAAAACATCGCTAAATTTACATAAGGTTACATTTAGTTTTACATAACTTATTATACTAATACTTTTGAAGTACCAGAGTATTAAGCTTTCCGTGCTACCAGGATTGTTAGGAGCAAAATACGTAGTTTCAGGAAGCACAATCTTTATGATAAACTGTTGAGAAATTCTTCAGTTTATTCCTCATTTGTTTAGGATGCTATAATCCATGATTTAGTACTCCTATGATCCTTATAAGGTAAAGCGCCAATAGTTTCATTTATCTAACATGTGTGTAGACGCACCATGAATTTCAGTACTGTACACCAAAACCTGCCTCTTAAATATCCAACGTGGATGTGGTCATTTAAAGTAGAACTGAGCATAACACATAGAGTTTATGTATCCCACGCTTCAGATTTCGAATAAGAATGTGATAATTCATATAAAACTGAAACACTGCACTGCAAGTTCGTGCAGTGCTTACATTAGTAATCCGTACTGTCCAGATGTGAGTTCAATTATATGAAATATCTGTCAGCACTTAATAGCCAAAACGCATTCGTTGATTCCTAATGCATTCTACAATAGTCTTTTCAAATCGTCATATGTGATGACAATTATTGATTAGATCAGAATTGAAAACAGGACCAAGCTCTCCTAGTATAGCTTCATCTATTTTAAGACAGAGGAGATGTGTGAGACACAGAGGGTCATACCTCGATAGTGTAGATATGCATCTGTAGAGATTTACAGTTGAAATTATAAATTGTTTGTTATCATAATAGACTTTTTTTTTTTTTTTACACATATACACGCTTCTTTCACTTGTCAACCAATTTTTTTGGTCGACAACAGTGTAACCTCTTTCCAACCCCCTAAAATCCCCATTTTTATTGTAAAAATCGTCATTTAACCTTCAACAATGCAAACGACAATGTAAATCGTAACAATGATAACAATTGCTTAAAATGAAATGTGTGTGATAACCCTTTCATTGTAATAATATTCAATGTATATGTAATAAAGTGTATTTGTATTAAATTAATTTTTTGCCAATAAAATTTAAAGATATTAAATATTTCCATACAAAAATTAAAAATAAATATTCTTATATTATTTTGGAAAACTTTTCTTTAAATAATATTGGGCGATTAATAGAATACGTCATTCACATTCATCCTTTCGAAATCTGGCAACAGTGTGTAAGGCAATCGAAGTGGTCCAGTTGGAGAATTTTTACATAAAGAATTTCAATCTAATTCATCTGACTTGAAAACATAAGTAAGTAATGTAATTTTTATATTACAAATTCGTTGTATATCAAATATACAGACAGACATATTTTGTTAAGCTTTATTGCCAGTTAACACGTGTGTATTTGCGTGTACTTCACGAGGTCTCGAAATGCATATTTTCAAATATATGGCGTGGTTTAGTAATTATATGGTTTTCAGTTATTTGTGTAATTACTTTTAGTAATGCTGCAATGGTGAAAACGACAAAATTATAGGTAATTAACGGACCTATAATAAACGGCGCTCTGTAGTAACGTTAACTTCACAGAAAAATTAGAGAAACAAATTATTTTTCACAATAAGAAAAATTAAAATAAATAATTTGATAAAGAAGAAAATTGGAATCTAACTACACAATAGAAAGGGATTTTAATTAAATACATGATGACTAGATGGTTAAAGCATCATCTGCCCCTCTTGTGTGCTTGAGTTTGAGTGGATTGGATCTGTAGAAATTTAATGTGTAGTCTTACCCAGGCAAGATTTTTGTCTTTAGATATTCCTGCTAAAGTAGAATGTTAATAGGATGGAAAAAGCCAAAAGGAACTGGGATCCTTATTCTGGTCATATCTTGCTGTTGAGAGTCTATGTCGTGAGTAGGGTTTCTCATTTCCCGGTCTTTTGCTTGTCCCGGGATCTTGGGATAAAAGTGAACTGTTTCCTGAGATAGAATTAATTATTTTTAAGGTATACAAAATATCTTGAAATCAAATGATATAATTATTTTTCATTTTTTAAAGTAATTTTAAAGTTCTGTAACCTCCAAAATCATATTAATAATGCTGTGTAAGGTCTATAGGACTATAATAAAAATTACCTTTAAATAACGTAGAAATTTTCACAAATAGAAAAAAATTAATTAAAGTTTGCTGGAAACTGCATACAACAACAACAAAAAAAAGTTTTGAATTGAGTTAAAAATTAAAAAAAAACGAACTTCTAATTTAGAAGGTAATTTTCGTTTTTTAAATAAAATATAATACAAAATATTGCAAACTTTTATAAGATTTTAAAAAGCAAAGATGGTCAATACTCCGATAACTCACTCTAATTCTTATTTTAGTAATGAAAAGTCTTGCCACCGAGAATGCCCTTTCCGATTCAATTGATGTGATTGGAATAGTGTTTAATGCATTTAAGAGAAGACAGATATTATGTGTTTTTTCACCTGTAGCCTGGAAGATTTCGAGTTCGTTTTCGAGATTGTAGTACTTCTTTCGCTCTCTAGTATTCTTGATTTGTCTACCTTGGCTGCTTTAATAGCGGCATCAAGCTTAGAGCTCGATAATTCGGCAATTCATTTGGCTTTAATAATCAGGTTTATGAAGAAAAACTTCATACTTGCAGACTTTGTACTCGTTTGTATCCTTGCCCAATTTGCACAATCTGGCGTCAGGCATTTATTGAAGCTACTGGGCATGGTTAAAACTCAAGACAGCGTAAGCACAATTATTCCAGATATTACAGGTTCCGACAAGTAAAGAATTTTTATAGTCCTGCCACAAATAAGCTATATATTGATTATTGACCATTTGTGACATGCTATAACGAGCAAAAATTTAAAAAAAACTAATAAGTAGGTTTAAAATTAATAAATACAAATGTATTCTGACAGTGAATGAGTTAATTATGCTTTCTATTTGCAAAATTCCTCAACCTTAACACAAAATAAGAAAAAAAGTGAATTTTTAAGAAATTTGCGGGATTTCCCGGGATAAGAAAAATTTCCCGGGTTAAAAAAACAACCGGGATCCCGTTTGAAAAACCCTAGTCGTGAGCTGGTTGCTTACTGATTAAACATTTGTCTATTGAGAGATTTTATTCCAAACATGATTCTGGATGACTTTTTCTTCTAAAGATTCTTTAATCTTCCAGAGTAGATCATTGTCTTTTGTCTGTAGTCTCGATTTTGTTATATTGAATATAGATGACTGGGTGCTACTTGCTTTATACAATCATATTAGAGAATGTTCTCTCAGGAAAGAGTATTTTGAGACAGAGATAATGCTTTTAATTTTTTTTTTTTTAAAGCAGGAATGCCACTGACTTGATATTTTTTAATGATTTTATATCAATTACTGAACTATTGAATATGCTTATCTGTTACTCAAAGTATTATATTTATTGAAATATTGCCAACTAATTTCTTCTTAACTAAGTGTGGCACTTTTTAACTTGATTATTAAAATTTTTATTTGTTCAGAAACAGTATTATCTAACAAGGAGACCTTAAGTGGTATTCATCACATCCAAATAGTATTGTGTTTATTCACACACAAAATATTATTCTCAATATGAACCTTTATTAAGCAAAGTAAGACGGTGCACTTCTCAAGTATTTTTGAGAAAATTGACATTAAGAAATTCTCGATGACTTAATTAGCAAGTTTTATGAGCTTTGTTCATTGAACGTTTTGTACGTTGGTGTTATTGTGGATGCATTTATTTATGAGCTAATTTTACTGTCAGCACCCTCAGCCTGTATACTTTTGCTTGAGTGCCACGCTCATTGGCATTTACTTTAGAGCTGTGTGATGTCATGTTTAGTGTTAGTAAGCTCAAGAGTGCTAGCTAGTTCATTGTCAAGCTTTGCACTAATTCAATATGGCTGCTTCCATGAAAAAATTACTTTCTGTACAAAGTAATGAAAATGGAATTATTTTTGGAAAAATAAACGGCAGGAAGTAATTTTATTGTAAATTTCAATTATTTGTTGTATAAAATGTCTACAGTGATCTTTTTTTATTGTAAGGTTCAATAGCTTTAGATGAATTTTTTCATAAACAGATGTGAAAAAAATTAAGTTTGACTCATTGTTTATGATTAAAAGTTAATTTTACCTTGTACGTGTTTGGAATCTTCAGAAATGTTATGTTCAGAGCATTAAATAAATCGTAAAGAAATGAACAGTATTAATAATAATCCAAAACTACATAAGTTCGTATACTTGAATAAATTTTTACTTACATATGGGAAATGACTTCTCGAGAAATTGTATCATTTGAATAGTATTTTTGCATTACAAACTAAACTTATATGATGACAGAGTAATACAGTAGAGCATCGATTATCCGACTCAATTGGGGACTCAGGTTGGTCGGATAACTGAAAAAAAATGAAAAAATGCATTAGTATAGTATATTAGTATATTTCATGTAATTAGTATATTAGTATATTGCTATTAATCAACTTTGAATTTTCATTGATGTTAAGCCTAACAAATTTTTTTTTTAAATAATAATCGTCACTATTGTATCGTTAAAAATTATTTTTAAATTATTTTATTGCTCACAAAATAAACAACCACTCATAATTAGAAAATTAAGTCTCGTTTAAATACTGGCCTCTCTTCAATGGTCAAACCGTGTTGTCAGCTAAAACACGCAAAAATTTAACAAAAATAATATTAAAGTAGCCAAGACGTAGCCAAATATTGTAGTGCCACATCTCTAGCGGACATTTGAAATTTGCCGAGTAAAACAGTCAGTTAACTGATGTGACGGTTAATCGGGGATCCGATAATCGATGCTCTGCTGTACTTATTTCTATTGAAATAAGCTGCTGCTTCAGTTGATGTCTTAATAGCCATATGCTTTTCATCAATAGAGCCTCTAATTCCAGGAAAACCAGATTGGGTATAAAAAAATTCCATTATTCTTACATCATTCTGCTCTGTGATGGCTGAGAGATTATTTTTTCATTTTCATTTAACACTAAGAGAGAATTAACAACCTTATTTAAAATATTCCACACAGTCCATCTAGATCTATTAAAACTATCACCAATACCCTTAGAGAAAAGAAAGAAAACAAATATTTTGTATTTAATATCAATTATTTGTTGATTTTAAACTCAGTTTAGTTACACCATAAGAGAGCAACGACTCATCCATTCACTGGGTAATACAATCACATTAAATATATATATGTATATGTACAATCTGCTATTCTCTTATATACTGCATCTGATTTCATATATTGCTTCACATAAACCTGAATGATTCTTAATTTGCCAATGTCCATAGGCAGCATAAAAGCTGCTTTTGAGGAGACACAGGTCATCTTCCAGAGAAAGTAATTTTTGTGTGTCTAAAATTGGGCTTATTTTTTAAAGGAGGCTCAAAACATTTTCTTGTAAGTCTAAGGTGCTGTTTAAAATCGGTTGGATTATAAGAAGGTACAGTCTCTTCAATAAAAGTTTCTATCTTTTTTATTTGACCTTACTTTTCTTTTTTTTTTTTTCATTTTTTCTACAATTATATCCATAATAAGATCATCCTTGTCTGATTGAGAATCAAGTAGTTCTACCTGTAATGAAACATTTAAAATAGCAGCTTTGACAATATTATTTGCAGGAAACCGCCATATTTCTTGTTAGCGTTCACGTTTACTTTCGAAAGGACGCATAAGCACGAATACACGTGCTAATGATGTCACTTCTGGTGTTCAGAAGTAGCACTATTAGCTCAGAAGTAAATGCACCCTATTTCTCTTTCATGTTTGCAAGTTTTTGGGATTGAATCACAGTTATGGAATACATTTTTTCCCCCTTAAAATAAGTGAAATTATTATATAAATAAATTAATTAAAAGTCATCCAGGCTTATACATTTTGTGTATTATTGGTTTTTAAGCCTCTTGCCTTAATTAAATTTTTTTTTTTTTTTTAACTGTTGTCTACTACAAATGCGTTTAAAGGTCTTTATTTCTAAAAATTAAAAACAAAAAACATGAGTAAAGTAAAGAATGTTCTAATAGCAGATGTACTAGAACATGAAACTGGAAATATCATCCAGTTTCATGTTCTAGTACATTAGTACATCCATTGTCATAAAAACTTGAGAAACAAATAAATATATCGCGTCTCGCACGTCAAATAAATGCTGCTTTTTTTGTGTTTGCAACATTCTTTTATAACCTCACACCCAAAACATACTTCATTAACATTCATAAAAACTTCTCTTTCTTGTGTAAGTTTTGATGCAAACAATACATAATGCAACATTTTGCAAAAATTGGGGCTAATAGTTGGTAATGGACTATTGAATGAATTTTTATGTAGTTTTTTAAAAACATGAGCAAACATTCTTTTCTTTACTTGAGATTTTTAAGTTTTTAATTTTTAGAAATAAAGTTTGATCTCTTTGAATGTATTTGTAATAGATAGTAGTTCTGGGGGAAAAATGAATTTTCAAGGCAAGAAGTTTAAAAAAAGAAAAATACACATTTTCACTAGTAGATAAATAGACAAAATATATAAGACCAGTGATTTTTAATTAATAAATTTTATATAAAAATTTCACACTTATTTTAAGGGGGGAGGAATTTATTTTGTTACTGCAATTCAATCCCACAGACTCACAAACGTGAGAGAGAAATGATAATGCTGAGATATGAAATATTCAATAAGCGAAGCTCGTAAAACTTGTTTTTAATTCATTGAGTATTTCTTAATGTCAATTTTCTCAAAAATTTCTTAGGAGTGCTCCTTCTCACTTAAAGGTTAAAATCTTAGTCTTATCCACACACACAATGTTATTCAGATCTGTAGTGGACACCTTGTAAGTCTCTTTGGAAGCGATTTTGACATTAAAAACTATAAAAACTTTATAAAACGAAACAAACAAAACAAAATATCTTTGTCAGAACAATGCTTTATTATTTGATGCATCCCACACATTCTACATTTTTGAAAATTTTACAACATTGTTGGTTAAAATTGTGTTGTGCACATCTAACCCAAACATGCATTATCAACCTAGTATGATTGTGATCAACAGCAAAGATGAGATCGTTATGGTTGATCACAACTGTCTTTGTTTCTTGTGTTCATGATATTCCTGAAAGAAGAGAATGAAAATAAGTTATCAGAATTGACCCTTTAAGAATGTGGTTTGCACCAAACTTTTCTGTTTATTTCTTCCAATTAGTCCAGATATATTAGAGATGCCATATCATACGAAGAGTTGTATTATGGTCACATTTTTTATATTTTGTTCTCATAGAATGCATTGAGAAATCAATAGAGCATTTGTTCTTTCATTTTTATAAATATCGGCAGATATGTGAAGGATTAAATTTCTTGACAAAATTGAATGATTTTCTTTAAGGTATAATATATAAATCTTTTGCTTATTAAATATAAATACTTTTTCTTATAGATGGCTCCAAGAAAGGGTAAACAAAAGGATGAGCAACAGGCTGTTACAACTCTTGGTCCTCAAGCATTAGAAGGCGAACATGTTTTTGGTGTAGCACACATTTATGCTAGTTTTAATGACACTTTTGTGCACGTAACTGATTTGTCAGGAAGGTAAGTTTCCTATAATTTCAATACTTTAAAATCCATATGTAATTATTTTTAATTTTGAAGGTGTGAATTAGTTTGATAATTTTAGTAAATTGAAAAGTTTTAATATAAAATTTAAATGATCAAATATTGAATTTTATAAAATATATATAAAAATTATTATTATAAAAATTAAAGTTTAACATAAGTTTTGAACAGCTGTATTTCTTGAAAGAAATTTATGAAATATACACTGAGGTGAGAAAAAATTTTATAAATATGTAAGAAATATCAACCAAACTTGCAATATATGGAGTGTCTGGAAAGTCATTTTTGTTCTTGTAAAGAAGGAATTGAGACATATGTCAGAACATTTACGGTCAAACCTTTGGTTTCAAATTTAATTTGTTCCTAAAAGTTGTTCGAAAACAGATTTGTTCTCAAACCAAAACAAATTTTCCCATAAGACAGTGTAAAATGCATTACAGTCGACCCCCCTATAACGTACGTTCCTATAACGACAATTCCTATAACGTAGCGAAAAAATTGTAGCAACTTTCGTATAACGTACCTCCTATAACGTCGTTTCGCGACAAGATTGATAGAGTCTGGACCAATAGTGGATGAGCAGCCGAACTACTTTCCTCCGACCCTGCGCCACGCTACGGAGCGGCTAAATTGAGTTTGCTATCGTCTGTTTAGTATTATATATAAATTAT